AAAAAAAAAAAAAAACATGGCAATAACGTGGGAAGTCGGATTGTAGAGCTGCTATACAAAGTCACCAGTAATCCATGATCTGATTCCCGTAAGTCATTGTTATTATGAAGTGATACGAACTATTAATGATTTCGTAGGAACTTGTTAATATGAAATTAATAAATCATTATGGATTTCCGAACAACTGTTTTTTTTTTTTTTTTTTAATTTGGCAGCTCAGTGGGTTTACAATCTGGAAGCTGCGCCCTTCCGACCGAAGGGTACAAAGTACTACAAACTAATCAAGGTTCTAGACATAGAAGGAGGTAGGGCGGAATTCGAGTCCTTTGAACTGATAGACGCGCACAAAACCTGGGCAAAACCCGGCAAAGTAACTGAGCAAAGGGCAATAATCGGACTCAAAAACTTTAACAAGCTCAGAACATGCTCACCCAGACTCAGTCGTAAAAGGACTTCACTTAATGATCAAGGCCAGAAGAAAACCTGGATCTATAGGCCCGACCAGGACATAAAAGACTTAGAAGTAGATCCAGCGGAATGGGGTTGGTTCATTCCCGAGGGAGAAAGAGCCACTAGAAGCTCACACCGATCTATGACTACGAAGTCAAAGCAGGGTATAGGTTAGAAATCAAACAGAAGATCCCCAACGGATTATTACAGAGAGATGGAAGAAAAATGTGGGAGAAAACGCAGGTTGGGCGGGCAAAATCCCATGGAACCAGTATGCGCATAAAACCTGCAAGGATCAGAAGTCTGCAATGGCTAATAATCTATTGGGCTGTTCCAGTCAATCAATGGTTAGGCAAAAGAAGGAAGCAAGAGGAGCATCAGCAACAACTGGTATCGTGCAAAATGTGCAGTGAGATAGTTGAAGAATCGCTGAGACATTGCCTTATACACTGCCAACGTGCCCAAGAGCTCTGGGATAGAACAAAATCTCCGTGGGTCAACCTAACGGATCATGCCTACCCCTTGAATACGACTTATTTGCCGTCAGGGAGGATAGAAGAAGAAGACCTTGAAGAGCAAGAAATTACTCTAGCAGACCTTCTGAGGAGAGCGACCCTTTGGGTAATCTGGAAAACAAGGTGCAAGGGTACCTTGGCTGGCCAAAATACCAGCGTAGACGAGAAGTGGACTGAAACCAAAACCATAATTCAAAAAGAGATAAGAGCCCAGTGGAATAGAGAAGAAAAAGCGCAACAGAAAATCTTCCAACCAGAAAAGAGAGAAACGAGCCAGAGAAACTTCGAAAAAATCTGGCTCGGCAAGAATAGATTTGCGGAAATCGATAAGGGCATCATCCACTTCAAGAACTAGGATTTACCTGCTGAATAAATAGTCTGTGAATAAGAAGGCTTTGCTCTCACGCAATAGAGGGACATTTTCAAACACAGTCACAGCGCGCTAGAAAACCGCACGGAAACCAGAGTTCTGCAAGTAACCCCATGCTCACGTCTGAGTCAAGATACCCCCCCCCCCAACCCTCCCCATCCTAATCACATCTTCTTTCCTTCCCCCGTCATATCTCCCCTCCAATTTCCCCCCTCGACTAACAGCCCTGTACAGTTTCAGATGGCAGCGGAAGGCACGCGGTCTGATTGGAAGAGGAAGAACATGGGACATCTGGAAGGCAAAAAGTGAAAGGTAAGGCTGTGGTCCATCTGGAAGGAAAGGTGCTGCAGAACTTTTGAAGGCCGTGCACCCCCAAGGGAGAAGGTACGGGAGGAGGCAAGATCCTGGAGTCAAGCAGAGATCCTTGGTATATGGTACAAAACGAGAAAGCCCATGCCTGATGATGAAGAACAGGGAGGAGAATTAAAAGAAAATTCTTCACAGAACGGATGGCAGGAGGCAAGGTAGCCACGCCGACTGACTTCCATATACGATGGAAAGACCGGCTAAATTCTGATACGAGGTGGAAAAGACAAGTGCTCCAGGTACCAAATGAATAAGTCCCACTGCAGGCCATGTGAGCTGACGGCATAAGATGGTTCGGGAGATTCCTTGCAGAACTTCAAAAGGAGGGTTTAGGGTTTAGGGTTTTGGGACCGCTTTGCAAACAGATTTAAGGAGAGACAAGACGGTTTTGAGGCATACGCACAGGGTTTCAAGGAGGGGTTACAAGGGTCAGCTTGAGTAGCTGTTCAGCTCTTTCTAGTTTTTCACGATGTATCTAGCAGGTAGCTAACAGACCTGAGAGGAAAGAGAAAAGCAGGGCAAGCTGACAGTCAATCCTCCACTACGTTGGAGTAATCAATGCTGTTCAGGGGTCCTTCGGCCAGATGGAAGGAAGCGTGAGTGCGTTAACAAAAAAAA